TAAAATAATTTTTAAAACGTTAAACTTGGAAGGCAAAGTTAAAAAAATAAAGGTAACAGATCAAAAACTAAAAAAAAAAAAAAAAAAAAAAGAATCTAAGTGAACGCTAATCAGGATAAACTTAAAAAAAAAGTCCACACCAAGACACATAAAAATAAAACCTCTTCAAACAAAAGACAAAGGAGAAATGATGCGTAACCTATTACAAAAAAACCCGATGTGAGGGACAATCGATGTCCTGTCTGAAACCATGGAGGCCAAGAGGAAGGAAGGGCCAGGAGAGAGCAAACTCTCAACCACAATTGTTACAGAGAAAACCACAGATCCAAAATGGCGCCACTTAGGCCAAATCCCCAAACCAGGGCTCAATACCTAATGTGACTGCACTTCCAACCTCCCCAGAGTGGAGTCTTGGTCAGGAATTTTCTGATGGGCACTGGCCACCTGGGCCTCTCTGTCCCCTCAAGGGAAGATGAGGTCACCCGTGTGCCTTCTTCGCCCTAGAAACAGACCGTGCCTGGAATTATCCTTTCCTTTTGCTAATAACTTCCCTGCCCTACCCTCCTTCCATAAAAACCTTCCATTTGTACAATTCCCCAGAACTAGATGGGCTACTGACGATTCATGAAACATTTAATAAAGCCAGTTAGGTCTCAAATGTACTCGGTTGAATGTTTGTTATTTAATACTTTATACCTGGCAAAACTATCCTTCAAGAATGAAGGGGAAATAAAAACATTCTCAGATAAAGGAAAACTCAGGGAAATTAGCAGCAGCAGACCCAGTCTTAAGGAATGGCTGAAGGAAACTCTCCAAATGAAAAGAAAATGACCAAAGAAGACAGAATTTCAGTATGAAAAGCAGGATGATAATAGTAATGGTAATAACCGGGGTAAATATAATAAACTATCCTTTACTCCATAGAGTTCTTTAATTTTTGATGGCTAAAGCAAAAATTGTAACACCGTCTAATGGTGGAATTCAACACATGTAAATAAAAGACTTAAGACAATTGTATTTGATGTGGAGAACAAAAGCAGAAGAAAAAAATTAAATTTCCTTACACCTGGACAGAGGGACCTTCTCCCAGGTAGCTCAGCTGCCTCAATGATGACACTTTGCTGAGGGTTAAAGGCAACCTTAGCTTGACATTGTCCCAACCCCCCAGGATCCCATGAATCTTCTCTAACATCTAAAAATCCCTTTGGAAACCTCCTTGATCTCTACCCCCCAAATATATGTCGGCAATCATCCTCCAAGCATGTGGCCCCTGCTACGCACCTGCAGGGTCTCATGACTGAGGTTTTACTAGACGGCGGTAAATGACCTTCTCTTCACGGCAGCTGGCTCCTCAAGGTCCCAGAAACCTTGCTTCCAAATTCCGTAGAGACTTCTACACGGAGCCTGACTCGGGGCTTGATCCCACCACCCTGGGATCATGACCCGAGCCAAAATCAGGAGTTGGACGCTTAACCGGCTGAGTCACCCAGGCGTCCCTGCATCAAAATTTCTTAACGGAGATGGGAAAAGAATCTAAACGGAGGCAAGATTTCAGCACCTGAGTTGAAGTCCTAGAACTGCTGTCAGTACCAGAGAAAATGTGCGTGTGTCCAAGTACGTGCTTACTGTAGCCATGCCTACACTGTAACACTGTATCCACATGCGCATGTGCATTGTATCCATATGTATGAATACTGTAACCGCTAGAACAAGCACTAAGAAAACCATACAAAGTGACACAGTAAAAAATGTTAAAAACAGAGGCGCCTGGGTGCCTCAGTTCCTTGAGCCTCTGACTTTGGCTCAGGCCATGATCTCACCGTTCACGAGTTCAAGCCCTGCATCGGGCTCTGTGCTGTCAGCACAAAGCCTGCTTTGAATTCTCTGTCTCCCTCTCTTTCTGCCCCTCCCCGCTCGCTCTCTCTCTCTCTTTCTCTCTCTCTCTCCAAAAAATAAACATTTTTTAAATGTTAAAAATACAATTCGTTTCTAAAAAATATTCAAGTGACCCAACTAAGAAAAGAGAAACAAAGGGACAAGAAACAGGAGAGGCAGACCCAAATGATAAAATGGCAAAGCAAAGCCCTAATGCATCAACAATGACCTTAAATGTAAGCGGCCTGTATACAGAGTATTATAATTGGATTAAATGCAGAGATTATCAGAGTAAATAAAAACCCAGTTCATTATGTGCTGTCTGTAAGATGCTCAAGTCAAATGTAATTAACAGGTAGATGGAAAGAACAGAAGGGAAACCGATATATCATGCAAACATTAATTTTAAAGAGGCCTGTTAACAGCAGATAAAGTAGACTACAGAATGAAGAAATCACTAAGGACAGGAAGGGGCGTCACCTCGTGACACAAGAATCAATCAACCAAGAATGTATATAATCCTAAAACGCAGACCCCAGGAAACAGAGTTTCACAGTATATGAAGCAAAAACTGACAGAGCTAAAAACATAGCTGGCCAAACCCAAAATTGTAGTCGGGGACGTCCTCCCCCGTGACACAGACGCTCTACCAGATGGAAAGTCGGTAAGGATACCTGAGAATGACAGAAAACCCGCAGCCGACGGAACCACACGAATGTTTTCAGAGCCCCGCCCTCAGCAGTGTCTCAGTCACCGAGGTAACCAATAACCCAGATTATAGGTCCCACAGAATTGAAAGCGTGTTCTCTGACCATAACGGAATCAAACTGGAAATCAGTAACAGAGAGAGAACAGAAAAGTCCCCACCGTGTGGAAACTAGACGCCACACCTGTAAGTAACCCACGAGCCAAAGAGGAAGTTGGAAAGGAAATTTTGGAGAGACGTGACGCTGTATGAAGAGGAACCTGTGCTTATCAGCATCTGTGGGATGCGGCCAGAAAAGCGCTGACAGGGAAACGTCTCGTGCCAAGTGCTTACATCGGAGAAGAGGGACAGTTTCAGATCGATGCTGTAAGTTCCCAGTTGAAAAAACTAGAAAAATAAGGCCGAAGTAAATACAAAGCAAGAAAATGAAGAAAATAATAATGAGAAAAGCAGAAATCGATACAACTGAGAACAGAAGAAACGTCAGGAAAATCGAAGAAGTGCAAAGCGGGTTAGTTCTTCCAAAAACGTCAACAAAATTGGTAAACTTCTAGAAAGGCTGAGGAAGATTGTGAGGATACACAAATCACCAATATGAGGTATAAACCTAATAAAAGCCCCAACTGCAGATCCGGTGGCCGTCAAGGGATAAACAAGGATTGCTGTGAGCAGCTTGCACTCCTACATAGGAAAACTTGGGAGAAGGGGACCAGCTCCTCGAAAACCACAAACTACCGAAATTCGGCTGAAACGGAGTACATGGGTTGAATAGGTATATAACCTTTTTTTAAGAATTCATCTTGCCAAGGTTACCAAAACAGAAACATCCAGACCCAGATACTTTTGCTGAAAAACTTTAGCACGCATTTGAAGAAGAATCACAAAATTGTCTCTAGAAAACAGCAGACAAGGGAGGGTTTCGTGAGCCCAGCATAACCAGTGAACATCCAAAGTGTAGAGAACTCACGTGGCTCACTAGCAAGGGGTAAGCATCAGCATCCGATTCGAAAGTGGGCAAAGGTCTCGAGTAGATACGTCTCCACAGGAGACGTCCAGATGCCGAAGACGCATGAAAAGGTGCTCAACACCGCTCATTGTCAGGGAAATGCAAACCCAAAGCCCGAGGAGATACCACCTCACGTCTACTGAATGACTGTTATAAAAAACACAAGAGACAAGTGCTGGCGAGGATGTGGAGGAAAGGGACCCTCGTGCACGGTTGGTGGGAGTGCAAACTGGTGCAGCCGCCATGGGAACCAGTGTGCAGGGTCCTCAAAATCTTCAAAGCAAAAGTCTAATGGGATCCAGCAATCCCACTGCTGGGTGTACATCCAGCGGAAACGAAACCACTCTCTCAAAGAGATCTCTGCTCTCATTCACTTCAGCGTTATTCACAGCAGTCAAGACGTGGAAACAACCTAAGTCCCCATCGAAGGACGAAGGACAAAGATGACGTGCTCTGCACACTCACAGAGGAATATGATTCAGCCACGAGAAAGAAGGAAACCCTGCCGTTTGCAAACGCATGAATGAACCTGAAAGTCATGCTAAGTGAAAGAAGTCGGACGCAGGAGAGAAATAGTGCATGATCTCACTTGTTTGTGGAACCCAAGAAAGCCCAACTCGTAGAAACAGAGAGCAGATGAGTGTCTGCAGGGGGGCGGGGGCTGAGGGAAGCGGGGAGATGGCCAGGGGATAGAAACTTTCAGTTACGAGGTGACTAAGTTCTGGAGATCTAATGTGCAACAAGGCGGTTACAGTTAACACACTGTACTGAGTACTTGCACTTCGCTGAGACAGCAGGTCTTAAATGTTATTGCCATACACACATACACAAAAAAGGTAGCTGTGCGAGGTGGCCGATGTGCTTAGTGACCGTAAGGCGGTGAACATTTCAAATGGACATCTATCACCTCAACCCATTGTACGCCTCGAACTCACACAGGGTCATTTATCAATTATAAAACTGGACAAAATGAAGGAAACACATAAATAGGCAAAATGTGTCCTTTGGATTTATTTTTATCCTTTAGAATCCTACCGTCTCTTAACAGTTTCATGCTCTTTTCCCTCCATAAAAAAATGCGACAAGGTGTGTCGGGCAAAAGGAAAAGGTTGTCTGTCCCTTCAGGTTGGACGAGAAATACCTTGTCAGGAAATGTGCATCCGACCCACCTCACGTTCCTCTTACCATCTGGCCGAGATGAACGGAAAGTGGTCTTCTGATAGTAAATCAATACCAAAGCAGGATAGGAAGAGTGTTTTAGATCAGGTTTCCGTAATGCCACTGTTGACTCTGCGATAATGCTTCAAAACGATGCTGCGGTCTCTGCCAACAATAGACTCAAAAGTGCAATTTTGGCAAAATAAATAAAATGATGGTTTAAAAAAATGGTTTTCTTTTGCAATGATCTCACAGGTCGCAACATTGACATCGAGGACATTTCTCGTAGAATATGCGGGAGATGGAAGAAAAGACGTTGCAATAATGGAGACAGAGGCGCGAGAGACGGAGAGAAAGCCAGGTCCTGGTGTGCCCGCTGGGTGCACATACACGATCCTCACAGCGACCCCCGACAAGGTCCCGGCCAGCACCTTGCCCCCTGCTTCTCGGCCCTGGCCTGAAGGGTTCCCTCCAACCCCATCAGGACCTCCGGGGCTTGGGCCCGGGCAGGGTGATTTTAAAATGTCCCCACGTGATGCTGATATGCGGTCAAAGCCTCAGCCCCCGGGGCAGCGGAAAGACGCCTGGCCCCGCCCCCATCCCCAAGGACCCCGTCCCCAGCCGACCTCAGGCTCTCAGGCTCCAGCTGCTCCTTTCTTCTTCGGGGGCGTTGCACTCACCTGACCCGTGGTCACCCTTCTTCTCTGTGACCTCTGACTCCTGTCACTGAAGAAGAACCTGCACGCTCCTTGTCCACATGCACCTGCTGTTCAGTGTCCCTAGATGCCCCCCCCGGGCCGGGGCCCGTGGGGGGACTCACACCTCCTTCCACGGCCCTGGCCCAGAGCGTCCCCCGCTCAGAGACTCACTACCCACCCCCCTCCATGTTGCCATGAAGCAAATCTCAAACTCCTGACCCCGGCATCCTGACATGTTTGGGTAGATCATTGATATTTAACCAGACAAATACAAAATGTAACTAAAATGAGAGCCAGCAAGCTTTTTTTTTTTTTTTTTAACTTGGCACTCTTTGTTTATGGTGGACCGTCCCCATGGAAACTGGGGATAAAAATAGCTGGCCTGTGTGTGTACCTGGTAAGGTTGTGATGAGCACACGGGACACTACAAATGTCCTTATCCAGGAAGCTGTTGAATCGCTGAGCTGGGCACTCCCTCTAAGGCCCAAGCCTCACCGACGGGCTTCGAAACGGAGGTGTCGGTGTTTGGGAGACTCCCCAGCTTGCATCCTGCTCCCATCCTTCCAGATAGCCTCTCTGCTGGCATCTAGGCCACCGTGCACTCCCAGCAGCCAGGCTGGAAGCCTGTGCTCACTTCTCGTCCGACCCGAGCTCGCCCCAGATGGGGCCACGGCCGCTTGGAAAACTCTCTTTTCTTGGGGCCCCCTGTTCTATGAAACGGGTTGATTGTGTCTCCTCCCGTGGCTCCTGCTTCTGTCAGCTTGTGGAAGGGGTCTCTGGTGCCCAGGAGTGGCCTTTGCACACAGCGCCCCTCCCCCACCACTCCTGTGATTTATCCCTTGACTGTGAGCTCCTGGAGGGCAGAGGCCACGTTTTACTAATACCTATAACCCAATATCGATACTTTGCCATTCAATAAGAGTTTGCTATGAATAAATAAATGAATACTGATTAAATATGATTCAAAAGGCACTTAGGGGAGAGATGTTCTGTGAGTCATAAATATTCAGAGGCCGAGTAGGAGGTATCCTTGAGCGCTTCACAGGGCCAAGAAAAGGTTCCTGTACCCCTAATTTGGCCTTGTGAGATAACATAGGTGATGTGTGACAGTCATGTGTTTGGCACAAAACCGGTAACTTGAAACGGCCCTTGGACGAGGACCTCAAGAGCCATAAATACGCACAGCGCCCTCACTGGCAGAGGCCAGCTCTGCAGCCGGCTCCTAGGTCACCATGCAGCACTGGACCCACCAGCCCGGGGCCACCTTCTCCGGGGTGAAGGCGCGGGGATACTCTGTGGGCCGTGCCCTTGTCCTCACTGCCGATGTCAGATGGTCAAAAGTCCCCTCTTCCTTCACGGCATTTTGTGTGTCAACCACCAATTCACTTATTCAAGCCTTTTAAATTCCCCTGCTGCTAATTATAGGATAAGTAGCTTCACGGATGTGCCTACTGTGAAAAGCTAAGGCCTCCTCGGAAAAGTAGTAAATTTGCCTCTTCCAAACTAGAGGGACGTCCCCAAATCCTGAGGTCCTGGGACAACAGTCAGTCTGTCCACTCTACTCCGATCTTCGTGGTGTTACAGAAGGCAGTCTTGCCCTTGAAGGTTTCTTATTTCTAGGCTGAGAACTGTCTGGTCTGTTTCCATCAGTGCCCGGAACTCTGCCTCGCATCCCAGAGTGGACTTGGCAGGACCCGTTCCGGGGGCGCTCAAGTGTTACATTTACCTTCAGTGCCTCCTGGATGACCTGGAACTTTCCGCTGCGCTGACCATACCCCGAAGCCGTGGTTTCTAAGAGCCCAGACAAGCTGTATTTTCTATAATCTGAAGTACCTCCAACCACATGTGCAAACAGATCACATTCGAGACCCGGCAAAGGCCACCTGGACTTTTCAATTTGCCAAAGTGCATTCAGAGTCGAACCTTCCTTATGCCAAGTGGTGCCGAAACCACAGAATCACAGGGCAAGAAAGGATCTTGACAGTCTGATCCATTTTCTTCCCTTCAGGGGAACTATTTCCCTCACCCCAGACTGGGCGACATAATCCTTGACCTTTGAAGTCCTTCAGAGAAGGTGACCCTGAGTCTGTCGTCGGCATTCAGTTCTTACCAGAACTGCTCCGTCAGGACACCTGGATCCAGCAGGCCTACCCTGGAGGATCATTTCTGCTCGGAGACCAGGACCGTGATGATTCCAACCCCCTGGTCTGTGTTTGTCGGCAGGTGCACAGGCCTGAGCGCGCATCCGTGTGTGTGTGTGTGTGTGTGTGCGCACGCGCGTGCATGAGCTCTGGGCCTTGAGGCCCCCGGTGGAAACAGGGAGCTGGGCACCCACACCTCACTGCAGGATCTTCTAGATCCTTCCCGGGTCGGAGACATCACACCCACCCAGTGAGGCCGAGTCCCTCAGGGCCTGCTGGCTGCCTTCTCCAGACACAGTCATCCCAGGACGTCACCTTCCACCCTAGAGACCTGCCCCCATCCCCACAAGTGCAGAGGACCATCGCAAGGCAGGACATGCTAGTTATTGGGGACCCCCCCCAGTACCCAGCTCAGCTCACTCACCCCCAGCGCGATGCTGAACAGACTGTTCCTGTTGCAAACTCTGCCATTGTGTCTCTGCAAAGAGGTGAAACGACACCCAAACAGTTAGCCGGTGAGTAATTACTGAGTTCCGACCACGTGTAGGAACTACTGAGTAGCAGTTACTCCGGAATTACTGAGTTCCAACCTCGTTGACTTTGGCACTGTGGAGAACCTCTCACAGTGCTGAGCAAATGGGGGGATTCCCTCAGGGCTCTCAGTGTTTCCTGCTCTCCTTCCTAGGGGGAGGGGTGGCACACCCAGAGCTGCCCCCAAGAGTAGAATTGGCCTTGGCGACAGAAGACTAAATGGCGTGTCCGTGGACAAGCCCACGCCCGGTCCCTCTCATTCTGTGGCCTCGCAGGCAGCATGGTAATGAACGGACAAGGGACTTGGAGCCAGACTTGGGGTCCTTTGAAATCTGACTTACTTATCTTTCTGAACGTGAGTGTCCTCAGCTCTCAAGTTTGATGTCTCAAGGTTGTGACAAATTATAATAGTTTCTACTGTTGTCCTTCCAAAGATTTATTTGGTTAGCACCCCTGGGTGTGATCACTATAGGCCAGACATTGTCCTTCGGGGCACGTCTACACTGCCAGCCTCCAATTTTCCTAAACCTTTGGGGTTTTGGTTCTTGGACTTGTTGCTTTATAAAATGGCTAAGATTAACTGAATTACATAATAATAATAATAACATGAAGATGGTTGTCTGTCATGTCCACATTTTTATGAGTCCCTCTAAGGAATATCTATGCATCTATGACTCCGTATCCTTTATGACTACAAAGACAAGATTAAGGTTTCTCATACTTTGGGGACACATAGGTTGTAGCGGTTGGGCGCGTCTTATGTGTCAAGCACATTTCTGTAAATCAAACCAGATAAAAGCAGACATGTAAATCAGAGAAACTCCAGTAAAGGCCAAAGTTTCGAAGGTGCACCACAGGAGATGTGACGTCAGGGGGGTTTGATGGAGAATTGGCTCATTTTGTGTCACGGGAACAGCAAAAGTTTAAAACACTGCATCTTAGGGGCACCGGGGTGGCTCCATCAGTTGAGGGCCCAGCTCTTGATTTCAGCTCAGGTCACAATCTCAGAGTCATGAAATTGAGCCCCGTGTCCACGTTGGGCTCTCTGATGAGTATGGAGCCTGCTTAGGACTCTCTCCCTCTCTCTCTCTCCCTCTCTCCCTCTCTTTCTCTCTCTCCCTCCCTCTCTCTCTCTCTCCAAAAAAACAAACAAAACACCGCATCTTAGTTTGTAACGTTATTCTTATTTTCCAGCACTGTGCCTTGGTGGCACATTATTGAATGAGAAGCTCATCTAAATAACGAGTCAGTGGTTAAATGGACTTGTCAGGGAAAAGGGAACCACAGTCACGATAACTCAGATGATGGCGGATTACGCTCACAGTCAGAAGAATTCGTGGGGCCGGCAAAGCACGAAGTGTGCAAATTTATCAGTATTTCAGAGAAAACAAAACAGTTCCTCTGTTAAGAAGGAATGTTGCAGGGTGCCTGGGTGGCTCAGTCGGTTGAGCGTTCGACTTCGGCTCAGGTCATGATCTCACAGTCTGTGAGTTCGAGCCCCGCATCGGGCTCGGTGCTGACAGCTCAGAGCCTGGAGCCTGCTTCGGACTCTGTGTCTCCCTCTTCCTCTGCCCCTCCCCTGCTCATGCTCTGACTCTCTGTCTTTCAGTAATAAATAAATGTTAAAAAAAAAAAAAAAGGATGAATGGATGGGTGGCAAATAAGCACATCAAAGCTGGTCAAAATAATCAGTCACTAGAGAAATGCTTTTAAAAACCATGCACAGGGGCGCCTGGGTGGCTCAGTCGGTTAAGCATCCGACTTCAGCTCAGGTCACGATCTCACGGTCTGTGAGTTCGAGCCCCACGTCGGTCTCTGGGCTGATGGCTCAGAGCCTGGAGCCTGCTTCCGATTCTGTGTCTCCCTCGCTCTCTGCCCCTCCCCCGTTCATGCTCTGTCTCTGTCTCAAAAATAAATAAAAACATTAAGAAAAAACATTTTTTTTAAAAAGAAGGAATGTTGTGGGGCTCCTGGGTGGCTTGGTCGGTTGGGCGTCCAGCTTCGGCTCAGGTCATGATCTTGCGGTCCGTGAGTTCGAGCCCCACATCGGGCTCTGTGCTGACAGCTCAGAGCCTGGAGCCTGTTTCAGATTCTGTGTCTCCCTCTCTCTCTGTTCCTCCCTAGTTCATGCTCTGTCTCTCTCTGTCTCAAAAATAAATAAAAGTTAAAAAAAAAATTAAAATAAATAAATAAATAAAAAGAAGGAATGTTGCTAATTAGGATTTTATCACCACTACAGTTTTGTCTTATTTAATTTGCTGTAAACATAAGGCATTCCTACATGACTTTACACTTGTCCGTATTCAAGGAAGATCATACGTTTGAAAGCTTTGTTGAAACTACGGAGCCACAGTATTTCTTTCAAGGTCCATATATCCTCAAGTTTGAGAAAAAGCAACATGGAGTGGTTACGTGTATTTTGTATTTTATGACACATACATAATGTTGGCATTTGTGTTGTATTCCGTATTACACGTAAATGTTTAAAGTTTTGGTTCCACTCTACCTTTGGGAATAAACAAAATTCACATTTTTTATTGCTAAATGTATTAAGTGATACTTACTTTCTTCAAAAGTTCTGCCTGCCCCTTGGGGTGACCAACACAACCGAATTTGCTGG